GTGTGTGTGTGTGTGTACTAACCTACAGCATGTTGAAACTGCGTAGCACGGAGCCCAGAATATTGCATGTGATGTTCATGCTGTATTTTATGAAGGCCTCTATGTTGAGTTATTCAGGAAGTGGGACAAAAGTTGTTTCATTAGTATTTTAATAACATTTTAAGTTCATCCTTTTCCTCAGGCTGCTTTTACCAGCACACAAAGACACTTCACAGACACTTGGAGGACTATTTCAGCTAGTATTACCTTAGGTATTTCTATATTTGCCACAGTTTTAAAAATGTTATTTTAATACTGAACTACTATGCCTGACAGCATGTTCTAATACTTGGAATGCACATGTAGTGTAGACTAGGGCTGAAATGATTAGTCTAAATTAATTGTAAGTCGATGACAGTTGTCAATAAGAATACAAAATACCACTAGTTCTCCATCTACGCAGCTGGAGAATCAAATTGCTAGCTCTGAAACCATATTTGGTTTGAAGACTTTGAACTACAACGCTCATTAGCGTTCATGCTAGAGTCTACTTCTTATCTGACTTACTCACGTGAACAATCATTTTGTCATGCACATTTTTAAGGTTGTTGAACCAGCGACCAATAAAACGTTAGCTGTTTGTAGGCTATATGGCTAATGAGCTTCTCAGATGCAGTTAAACAGCATGTAAACTTTCCTGCAAATACATATTGTGTGGTTCTTACTGTTCAATACTACTGCTAACGGCACAGTCTGCACATGACTTCTTTGCTGTAGTGTGAGTTTGTCTACTTTTCCCCCACCAAGGCTCAGCCTACATGCTGCTGTCTATTGACACAGACGCCCCCAATCTAACCGGTTGAGACAAAAGGAAGTGTTTCTGATGTTTCCCCAAAGGCCTTTTTTCTTTGCTTTTTAAATAATAAAAAGAAGTCTGTGTAACCTGCATGTCTTCAAACTATGGGAGAAAACTCGAGCACCTGGAGAAAAGAAAAAAACATTTTCCTTATTTTCATTTGTCTTTTTCTTGCTCCTGCTTCTCCCCAGCTAAATCTTCCCATCCAAAGAAGGCAGGGTGCACAACAAAAACCACGGCTGCCTCCACCCTCACCCCTCGTTCTCGTGCGACTAAGGACGACGGCGCTGCAGCACAGACTGGTGGGACAGATGCAAGGACCAACCGGAAATCAGACACTCCCACCTCTTCCCCCGTACCTCAAAAGGGCTCTGCAGAGACTCATAGCCAGCCCGGGGAGTTAAAATCCTCGCCTCTCTCCTCAAACACCAAGCCTGCCTCGTCGAAAGCCTCAGGCAATCAGACAGAGGGAATTCAGGCTGCTGCTCAGCCTGGTGTCGAGCCTAAATCTGCTCCCAAAGCCACTGCTGCGGGTGAGGAGACCCACAAAGGTATGGCTCCTGAACCCACAGTCCAGTGTTCCCATATCAACTCTGCTACCGAGGACACTTCCTTCACAGAGGGAGAGAGAGACAGCAGCTCAAAGGGGGATAGACAGGGGAGAACGGGAGGGGAGGGAGGAGCAGAAGAAAAGAAGAAAGGAGAAACGGCATCTGCTGTGGAGAACGGCCTGAGGTAAAAATCTAGTAGAGACAGAAGAGTTGTTGAAACATGCCTTATGTTTGTCTTCTCTGCTTGTCAGTCTGATACTTCTAGAGCACATTACATATCCACACATAGTCTTACTGGAGTCACTTGATAATACGGATTTTCATTTAAGCAATGGGTTAAATTAATTGTGTGCAATAAGGAAATGTATTAATCATTTGTGAATCCAGCTTTACAAATTTCTGTATTTGTTCTATTGCAACAAATGTCTTGTTATTGCTTCCTGCAGGTCGGCAGAGCGCCCGGCTGAAAAGCCGCAGGGCCTCAGCGTGAACACGGAGAAGGCCGAGGTGACGGTGATCCCTGATAGGCCGAGAGACAGCCAAACTAGTGACTCTGATTCCGATGGACCAATCCTGTACCGCGATGAGGAGGATGAGGAGGAAGACGAGTACACAACCAGTATGGCATTAGTTTTTTAACACATCACACAATAATTGAAAAACATTTTAGAGAAGCTCCACATGACTACAGATCATTTCATTAAGAATATGCTATTAATTTTGTAATGGGTTTCAAATGCTGGCCTAAGAAAGAAGCATGACACTGAGTTAGCAGTTCATTATGTTCTTCCTGTTCTTTCACGCAGTTTGAACATCCTGACAAGTCAGTGTCACCTGCAGATTGTGGTATAATTCAATTTTCATCCATTTGAACAGAAGAAGTGACAATAGTGACTTTCAGGGTGTGATGATAATTTCAAAATTGTATCAAATTATGTATTTTATTCAATTACAGTGCAAGAAATCATGGATAGCTATTTTTAATATTAATAATCATAAGCGAGTACATTCTAAGAAGTAATGCCAGCTAGAGCCTTATTACTACACTGCAAACTTCACATGCATCTTATGGAGGTTCAGCTAAAGTGCCGTGTAAGTTTAGTTAGTGATGTTTCTCCCAAAGCCAGTGTCAGACTAGGGTTTTGACACTGAATCTATCTATCTTCACGTGTCGGAGGGTTGATTGCAGACTGTGTCACAAAGTCATATCTGAACATAATTTCTGTGTTTAAATGATTGTGACTAATCTTTATCCACGATGGACACTCATAAGACATGTATCATCACTGAATGGCTACAGTGGTTGATGCTTTATTATTATCTGCAGCTGATCTACACACAGGTTGTTTCAAGGCCCTCAGTGACTAGTTCTTTGTGTTCTTCTCTGTTCCAGGCTCTCTGGCAATTAAGATCCGCAGACGAGACACCCTGAACATCAAGCTGGGGAACCGACCTAGCAAGAAAGAGCTAGAGGAGAAAAACATTCTGCCTCGGAGCTCCGAGACAGAGAGACACGAGCTTCGCCAACAAATAGGCAGCAAACTAGTCAGGTACAGACTCAGACACACACACACACACTCAGCATGGTGTGAAAATGAATCTAGGTGTGAATTTTCATCATAGATTTGGCTGGGATGTGGGGTAACTTTTTGGTGTAGTTGTGGGTGGTGTACTGGTACAAATGATGCACAGTAAAAATCTGTGCTGAAGTTTACTTTGACTTTTTCTACCAGTTGAGGCAAAAAGGCTGGTGGCAAACAGCCCTTGGATTAAAACAAAAAAAGGGTGTTGTTGTGATAAGTCTTGTTGTTTTTCTGTAGAAGTCACTGTGTAAGGTTTAAATCATTTCCTATCTGCTCCTTGTAAAGAAGTATGTGAACACAAGTTTTCTCTTTCCAGGCGCCTGAGCCAAAGACCCACCACAGAGGAGCTGGAGCAGAGAAACATCCTCAAGCGTAAGTTATCTGGAATACACTATTAAACTGAGGGGTGACGCGATGCAACACTTTTATGATTATTGTGATGTTTAGAAGCTTAAATGTTTTTTTGCAATGACAATATCAGGAAGTATCAGTATGGTTGCATGAAAATGTGTGTGGAGCTACTCTGGTTTCCAAGCTTGCTGAAAATGTATTCACACCTAACAAATTTAGACTTAACGCCCTGCACTACCTCATCTGATATGTGGTGGGGATGTGTATACATGCCAGTAAAAAAAAATCTAAGAAAGCCGATGTTAACACACTGTTACAACATGCAGCCACAGAAGCTGTCCATTTTTATTCCTGGCACAAAGAGGAGGTCCACACAGGTCATAATTGCAACAACACGCAGCAACAGTATGCCAGATACGACCTTGTGAGTCTCATTAATCAGATAGATGAGACCGATATGCCTGTCTAAATTATGAGTTACTGTCTATTAGAAGCTTTGTGAGATGAACCGATGTGGTTGGCCACACTGAGGTCTGTGTTATTTTAGAGACTGCCTCAAGATTGGGATGATTTTTCATCATTACTTTGGTCACCACAGTAATAAAAGTTAGTTCAGGTCAGTCGGTTAGACACACACTACATACCCACCTTAATAAATATTAAATAGACAGAAATATTCAGTCAAATTTGTATGTCATGTTACCAAGCAGGATTTAATTAATTCATTCATCATTCAGCTGGATTTATTTTTTATGCCAGCTTTGCATTTCAGAGACTTAAAAGAGGCATTAAAGCTTTGGGTTTTTACGATTTCACAGTCATTTTTCTCTTGGCGTGACTGAGCCAATTCAAATAGCTTGTTGTCCTGCTAAATACTGAGTAGTTATGTAATATCTGTTGCTTTATGCTAAGTGAAAAATGATAGCAAGCAGTCCACAATCAACCAGTTTGTATCCAGTGGATAAAACACAGGAAATTAAAATTATATGTCAGATAGCATCCAATACTTAGGTGGTATATTGTAGGGAAATAATTACAACAACAGTATACCATGACTACAAATTATTTGAACAAGTTCCTCCATTTGGGTCTAAAGTTTATCCATGAGTGAACACTTCCAGTTCTTTAAGGCTGTAATTAAATATACAACAGCTGTTACAACAACTGCTAGAATGAACCTTCACCTTCACAACTGACGGCTGCAGTGATACTGATCTAGTGTGTTAACAAGTGTCTTGTTAAAACTGGAGCAAAAAACTTTGCAGGGCATGTGTACCTTTTGTAACCAGATGTTAAGATAAGCCGTTTTTTGCAACTTCAGCAGGAAGATGACTGATATTTATTGTAATTAAGTAAGAGACACAGACAGAAAAAAGTAGCCATACACAGTTGCCCTGATTATGGGAAAGAGGAGTTAGGTGACTGGTTTCTGTGCTGTGAATCCCAGATGGCTTCTATTTCAATCTCTGATGGGACCACTAGAGGTCAAAGAGTTGACCAGCATCCCAGGCCAAGTTGTTTACACACACACACACACACACATATATATATATACTGTACATCCATGACAAGGACAGAAAAGTGAATGCAGCACAGATTCAACTCCAATGATTCATTCTGTCTCTAAAGGACATCTAAGGACATAATTATCCCCCTTTGCTTTTGTATATGTTAGGCCACTCACACCGCTTCATAACCACGGGCACGATTAAATATGAAACACATCTTGCCGTTATAAATAGAAGCAGAAGCTTGTTGCAGGCACAGAGGGTGTGAAATGACTCTTGGTTCTCTGCATGCAGAAAAGAATGAAGCAGAGGAGCAAGAAGCCAAGCAGGAGATTAAAAGGAGACTCTCCAGAAAGGTACTGTAAACACCAACCCTACACACACATAAGCTAGAACAGAAAGGACAGAGTGAGTCTATATTTAGCTGCTAATATGTTTTGCTCCACCTTATGAGTGATGTTAGGAGGCAGAAAAGATGCTTTGTGCGGAGAGATAAGTCCATCTAGTGGACACAGATGGAACTGAAACTCTTCTTTCAGCTGAGATGTTAAATGGGCATTTTCTGTATCTCTAGCTCTTGTGATAAAAGATCACAGTTGCTTCTTGGAAAAATTTTTAAGAATGAATACAACGTATAAACACAAATACAGCATGTTACTGACTTTAATATAACATAAATTCCCTCCTTCATTTTGACGTTTATAGTCTAATTTCTCTCTCCCTTTCTGTGTGTAGCTGAGTGTGAGGCCCACAGTGGCAGAGCTCGTCGCTCGCAGGATCCTGCGTTTTAATGAGTATGTGGAGGTAACAGATGCCAAGGATTATGACCGGCGGGCAGACAAACCCTGGACACGGCTTACTCCTGCTGACAAGGTGCTACAGTTAATACACTATATTGTGAAATCTGGATTTTTTGGTTTGATTGACTGCTTTTTTTCTCTCATTATATTATTAACTTATACGCCTGTCTGTGGTGCTTGTAAGTGTACTACAGGCAGTTACAGGACGTCAAAGTACATGGACTTACCTTACCTGTGGCACGTCAAAAGTTTTTTATATAATTTAATATAGTTTAATGAATATAATAATACTATGTTATTATTATTAATTGATAATGACAAAAATCGACATAATTGTGCAAACAAAGAACAACACAAATGTTTACTGCTGTGTACATGTAAAAATGATCTTACCAGCACTTTTTTAACTTTTGTCTGTCAACATTGGAACATTAAACTGTGAATTGTGGGGAAGTCTGCCGCAGCGCAGATTTATGGAAAGAACTTCCACAAGAAGAGCTCAAAAAGTCCAAATGAGAGGCCACAGAGTGGATGTGATTAGAGCAGACTGAGTAATAGCTGTTTTGATGTGTTTATGGGGAGAGACAGTTGGCCTTGTCCTGCTAGGTGCATTTTTATCATTTTGTGTGTTTGTGTGTGTTTGTGTGTGTGTCTACCCCTCAGGCTGCTATCCGTAAGGAGCTGAATGAGTTTAAGAGCCGAGAGATGGAGGTTCATGAAGACAGCAAACAGTTCACCAGGTACTCGAGCGGTCGATGACCTCCACCATTTAGCTCGACTCTGGCGATAACTCACGCTTCATTAGTAATTTATCACCGTAAATCCTGCTGTTTATTAGCTCACATTGATCAATATTTATATTATTCTGGTTGCCCAAAGCCATTTCCTTTAACCACATTAAAGTCATGATATACACCTGGGTCAACTCCAGTTCATTAGCCTCAGGCATCGACTGCCAATAAAGTTAAAGCTCACTCGATTATATGTTGTGGATCTGGGTAACATGTTGTTATAGTGTATCCAGCAGTTAGTCCATCAGTAAAACATTAATACCTGGCAGAAATTCTTCACCTTTATAATTCAAAAATCTGCAATTGAGAAATATCTTTTTTTGTGTAAATCACTCTTCTGTATGTTGTACTGCTTTATTTTTCCAAGGTCTTTTGACAAGTCAAGCTGCAGTAGTAGCATACATCCTGATAATTATGTAAAGAATAAATGTATGGCCGCAGTTTAAACACAAAAGTGCACTGAACACCATTACCTCCAGTACCTTTTCATTCTCTAAAGCCATTGGAAGCAGCTCAAGGTAACATAAATTCATTTTCAAAGGGCAGGTGTTGGAGCAGTGTTTTTGTGCCTGTTGAAGATCCATATGGGAGAGAAACAATTTTTTGCATTGAATATCTCCAGCTTTATCAAGTTTGAATAAGAACTCATATGTAATTTGAACAAACACTTTTAGCACATAGCCTCAGCTTAAACTACGTTGTATGTGCGTATATTATTGCTCTAAAGTGACAGAAACTTTAAAAACCTTGCAAGATACAATGAACAACAGAGGCATCTAAACAAAAAGTCATCTGTATTGATTGCTTTATAGTCTAATCTTGTGTATGTGTGTATTATATTTTCTTGAATTAAAGCCTGTGTGTTTGTGTTTTTTTTCAGATTCCATCGGCCCTGAGCGCTCTCACTGCCAGCTGGACGTCAGCACCACAAGCTCTCCGGTCTACAGCTCCCAGCAGTCCCCCGGTCCTTCAGACCCTCAGTACGCAGCTCAGTCTACTTTGCTTTGGGATCCTCTTGCACCTGATGATATGTTTATTTGACAGCTACAGGTGTGTCTTAAGGCCTCAGTCAATCAAGGGACACCAGTGAAACATTTGCACATATCTAAAATCAATGGTGTCTATAGCATTCTGATTAGAACCATTTATTTATTGCAGATGGCCAGATCCTTCTGGTATGTGATGGGTTTTTTGTTGTCTGTTTTTGGTTCACTTCTGGCCTTGTAATGAGACGTTCAATGGAGGAAAAATGGGCAAAATGACCCTCGTAGTAATGAATGTGGCTCAATTGTACTTAAGAGTTTGTGTACTTATGTACGTATGCCTTGCCATAAACTGCCAAATGGCCATGTATGGGCATCCTCCTAGGCCAGGAAATGGGAGCAATTGGATGGTTGTGTGCTGATGTCAGTGCTTATGTCACAGATCCGAGGGGAGGAGAGGCAGTTTGTGCTGCCCCTATGTGCCTCTTGGAGTTGAATCTGAAATACTGCAGTTCATTTTTGCCACTAGAGGGCATTATATTATAAGAGTTATAGAATGTAAGTACAGAGATGTGTATGTAGATGAAGAACAGCCTGCGAGTGTTATATTTATAACTGCTGAAGCTGAGAGTTCGGTGGAAACCTGAGGCTTTAAGAGTGAAGTGCAATGAAAATCATTTAAATTCTAGCCAATTCCAATCCCTCAGCACTCTTCCTGATGATACATAATGATCATGTACCATCATATATCCTGTGTTGAGTTATTAAGTGCAAATCTCTGATCACAAAGTGCTGGACTTGCTGTTTAGAGGGCTTTGACTCAAGTTTTTTATTTTAGGCTTTTGGCTGGAGCTCTTACTCAGAGTGACTTGGTGCCAAAGAAAAAAGCAGAAATTTGATTTGATTGTATTTTGGCCTTATTTTAACGTTTACAGGTTCAATTTTGTTGACTTCATATAAAGGTTTTATGAATGAGAACAAGCACTGAGAGTTTCACCACTGAAGCAATCAACCGGCTTTAAGAAGAAGTGGAGGTACTTTATTTTCCATTTCCTCAAACTGTCAGCCTGTGATAGAAATGTAAGAAGAGACTTGGTGACAAGTAGCCCTTTTCCACTTTGTCCTAACATGCACCTTGAATCCAGATCTGTTTCTCTTTTGGCTTCCAAACTGTAGAATTTATCATGGACCTGAAAATTTAAAGGAATTGTTCAACATTTGCAAAAATACACTAGAAAAATGTGTCAGTTATTTCTTTAGTCAGTCAACAGGAAACTAATCTGAAACTAATGTCATAATCGATTTCAGTAATTTAAAGAAAACTGTTGCTGCTCAGGTGGAGATTTGATGCTGTTTTTGTCATGTATGATATTAAACTGAATACCGTAGGGATCTGGATAAAACAAGCAATTCAGATTGAATTTAGAAAATTATAATAGGAATTTTCTATTTTAGAGATGAAACAATAAATCAATTAATAAAGAAAATAATCGACAAATTGTCTAAGTAATTGTTAGTTGCAGCGCTATAATGTAAATGTACACTCTAATTTCTGTACGCTAAATATAGAGCTACAGCAAACAGGCCATTAGCTTAGATTAGCATAAACTGGCTCTTCAGTTTTTGTAAACATTAAATATATATATAATAAATGTTTACTAAGAGGCACTGGTAGACATTTTTTTAACCTTTAAACAGAGCCAGCCTAGCTGTTTCCCCCTCTTTCCAGTCTTTATGCTAAGCTAAGCTAATCGCCTGCTGGTTGTAGCTTCATATTTAGCGCAGAGGCTATTTCTCAAAGTGTTGAACTATTCCTTTAATATCACATGTAAGGCAAAGCTAAAACATTGATGCGTCTTATAGTGATCTAAGCTGGCACAAGGGAGGTTATGAAGTAGCATTTCAACCCATTTTATATTCCACTGCTCTTTGGGATTAAATTTGTTTTTGCACTCTTTTTAGAAGTCTGAATTGAATTGTATTGTTAAGAGATTAAAGACAAATAGGTAACAGTGTTGGCTGCACAACAACTTAACTACACTGAAGAGGATTTACTTTTGTTTAAATGTGCAGATACACAGAAAGTTGGTCTATGTGTGGAATTATGTTTTTTGGACATTTGTCTCACAGTTTGGTGCATTTATAGATTTTCTGCTTCAAGTGATTCATCATGATAGAATCCAGATACTCGAGACGTATGTCAATGCAAAATGTAGAGGCGATCAATTAATAATGATTTGTTTTTGTGTGAATGCCAGAATGTTTGGCTGACTAAAAGAAACTGGAGCCTATACCTTTCTCTCTAAAATATTTTAGGACTAATATAAGAAGCTGGGACCTTTACTCATTGCAGTGGATATAAAAGTTAAACAAAACGTTCTTTCTCCTCCCAGCATATTTGGACTATAAAGGAGTTGTTTGCTGAAAAGTGATTGACAGATTGAGCTTGCTGACGTCTGAAGGCTTGTGTTCTCATAATAGATCTCCGACCCCTCGTCATCCTAACAAAAAGTAAAGAAAAGGACAGATTGATTCTTCCTGCTTCTGAATGTGCATAGGTTGTAACATGAAGTGATGTACAGTGATGGAAAAGAACCAACAGTATTCAATAATGTCAATATGTATGTTGTTATATATTGATTATTTTGTACAGAATGTATATCGAGCATGTGCATACATTGAAATCAATTTTACTACCAATATGATACAATAGAATTTTGATGTGAATGTTTTAAGCTCTGATTGTAATTGTCTTGTTTTTTTTTTAATCATCCTCAGTCAATTGTAATGAGATTAACAGTTCATCACATATATACGTGCTGTTTTTAGGCAGCATATTAATCACAGTATGTTAAATAATTGTCATGCCTGTTCATCTGTTTCCTAAGCAGACCATGTATAAGACATTATATAGGTAGTGATAAATCTCTCTCTGGTTATTTTGTATTCGTTCCACCTTCACTTCAACTGAAGTCAGCTGGTGCAGTGCAGCGGGTATTTCATGGATGGTGACTCAGTTTAAAAGCAATTTATAATCCTTTCTGGACCTTTACTTTTGATTCATTTCATCAGATGACCATAGTGCATACTGCACAAACTAGAAAAAACGGATGGATGTGACTTTAATCTTAATCATGATAAACATGCTCAAGTTTTAACTACATGCGATTAGGTACAGTAAATAATCTGAAAGTAAGCATGAGTCTGAGCGGTAGTGTGAAATTAGCTTCTGTAAAGGGGAACACGGTGCGCACTAAGAGCAAATACTGTAATAAAAGACCAGAAAGCTCTTATTTTTTTATACACAAATTAAAAGTCTTACCTCGTGGTACAGCTCTGATTCCGTCATGGCTGACGACGTAAATATGCTGCTTGCACCACAAAAATACAATACATTAATCCAGATAAAGTGTAACTGGTAACATTTATTTTAACCCAGCCTATTTAGCATTTAAGCAGTATATAGTCAATGAATAAAAGGTTATGTAGGTGTGTAAGCAGATATAAAGACATTTAAAGGTGCTATAACTAATATTTTTGTAACAATAATTAATGATATATGAAGTGACAATGTGAATAGTGATGAACCTACAGGGCATTATCACCTGAATCTGCAGCTTTCCCCAGCTTTACTGAGCTTTATAGTGAGTTTCAGCTCATTGTTTTGGTTCACTATCACCGCTCGTAGTGTTGTTTTCGGCCACAGCTGGCAACTGTTGTCAGCCACAAAAAAACCACTGTACACTACCTGCGCAGCAGACACCCAGTTACCGACTAGCTGGTGAATATAGTGGAGCATGTGGTGAGCTAAAGATAATGTCCTCAGGAGCAGGTAGAGACCAAAACCTGAGCTAAAAGAGTTAATATTAAGGACTTACATTCATCAGGAGGCCAGAAAAAAGACTCAAAATGAATTGTAATGTAACAGCTGGATGTGTAAATAAGCAACTATTCGCCATATCAACCTAAAAGGTGATAATAATTTATCAATACAGTGTTTGATAATGTATTGGTAACAACTTAAACTCCTCATGAAGCATCCACAACTGCTGAATAAACATGAATACTTTGCAATATATTTGCAATCTTATATAATGTATACACAGGCATACATGGTTTTAAACCTGTCTGTGAATGATTTGTACATGTGTACAAATGATTGTTAAGGAAATGCTTTGTAACACTAAGAGTTAGTTATAATAACAGTCATGTTATACTATGCTATCAGTCATTCATTAGCTGTTTATACACCAGTTACGGATGCTTAATCTGAGAGTTTTTAATTGGTGACCAAATACATTAAGAAACACTTGAGACTTAATGTCTTTATGTTTGCTTACAATTTATAAATCATTTATGAAGTGTTTATATGCTGCTTAGGAATACAATATAGAGGTTACATAGTGTTAGCTAATAAGAAGCTTTAGAAATCTTGTCCTGTTTTTTTTTTTTTTTTAAATCTAGGTTAAAAACATTGGTGTCTTTGTAATAATGAAACTACTTACAGGGGAGTCTTGATGTGGACTGTAACCACATCTATCTTTTAAGTCTTGTTTTTTTTTTCCTCCAACACTGATGCGTAATTCCATATTTTAGTCCAGAGTTATGTATAGTATCTGTATAGAGTTTGGAAGAGCCTTGACAGTTGGTGTTTAGTCATAACCAGTCAGTATTAAAGGAGCGAGTCCTGTAAAAACGATAATGGCTGCAGTCTGTTTCATCTCATCTTGTATGAAACTGTAAAATAAACACAATAAACCTTATGAGAGTAAGACCCCAAAGACACTTTCAAATGTAAAATACGGAATAAAATCCAACATACATGTCATTACATTTGAAAAGCAATTTTCTCTATAATTCCACTTGAATTCGTGGCCATTTTGACACTTCCTTTCCCGGCTTGTTATTACAATTAATCTGCAGAACTGGAGACTTTCACCAGTTCATGAAGATGTTTACATTTGTAATGATGTGATGGTGCTTGAGGCTTCCTTTATCACTTCCCCCAATCAGATCCCATCAGGGCCATAATCAGACTGCTGCTGTTGTTGAACGAAAGCCCTTTATCTTCAATGTATAATCTTTTCTTGATCTTGTGAAATCTCAGTTTGGTATTCGTTCGCTGGGGAATCACACTATAAACCTTCCAACTTTAAATGCATTCATTTTCTTTTCACACAACAGATACTCAAAGGAAACACCAAAGGACTGGATATTTAAAAAAACACCCTTTCCTATATGTTTGAGACAAGATTGATCTTTGAAGTTGTAGAATAATGTCATATATCCCCAAAACATCTACTGTTACGTCCAAACTGTATATTGTTTTTGTATATAAAGAATCGTGAAAAAACATCTGTTTTGTCATCTTGTTTTTTTTGTTCTTTCTTTAATCACTTTAGGAATAGTAACAGACTTGAGCATATTAGAGAGGAATGTATAAATAGAAATGTATACTTCAATACATGACAGTTCTAACATGGAAAAAGCATGTTTCCACAAAAAAAATCCAGATAATATATTTGCACATGCCCAACTAGCATGTAAGAAGAAGTGAAATTGAATTGATCCCCATTATCTCTTTTCTATTAATGTAGTATTGCTGGCAGATTTCAGAGTCCTTGAAGGCCGCGTTTCTTAATTCACTATTCAAAGACATGAAATAGAAAGAGCAAGACACTTAGTCTCAGTAGGGTTTTATTTTTAAATACATTACATCATTCCTTGTAGATTTAACTAATTAAAAATTGAGCCAATTCTTTTACAGAGAGGTTCCAAGGATGACTATGATTAAATTTACAGTTTATCTGGAAATGCCAAATTGTAGCAATTAGTACCAATTAAGCCTTTGTAAGGTATAAAAAAAATGAAGAAAGCCTTTAACTCAGCTTTTCTCATCCCCTTTCATGTGCCCTGAATTTGAAAAATTGTTGAGGATGACAGCGTAATTACTCTTACTATAAATCTGCTCTGAACTTTGCTGTGCCTGTGGCTCTCACTGACTTTCCTCTTGGGTTAAAAAAGGACAAACGATTCTGCACAAAGTGAGCTGATGCATATGTATTTTTTATTAACCACAGTAGCTCAGGGGACAATGGGTCTGTTAGTTGGTCCACCACTTCGGTCCTATTTGAAAAATTGGCACGAAATCTGGTACATTGTGCCCAGAGGATGAATACTGTGAACTTTTCCGTAGCGGCATGAGGTTGTCATTTGTGGTTTTGAGGTAAAGGTCTCAACAACTATTAGATGGACTGCTGTGAAATGTTCCCCTCAGAATAAACTGTATCAACCTCAAGTTTTCATTTGGTGCCACATGCAGGTCAGAATTTTTATTTGCCCAGCCTCAGCTGTTCTTGTGTAGTTGTTTACTGTGAGTTCACTGTGAATTACCATGTTAACATGCTAAAAGGCTTAACTATAATTGTAAACCTGCTGAACATATGCATGTTAATATTGAGTGAGCATGTTAGTATTTTAGTATTTAGCCCAAAGCACTGGTGTACAGTCCCACAGAAACTCTTTTCAGACTCAAAGGTAATGTATATAATGTCCCCGTATACTGAAGTCAAAATGAGAGCATTACCACTGTCTCATTTAGTCTGTGCATGTTTCTCCTCCCATCTTTTTACACTTGTGGCTCAGTTGCCTTCTAATAAAACCAAGCGCAAGGAACTCCTGTTAAAATCCTGTGCATGTTGTAATACACACCCTTTTCATTTTACAAATGGAAAATAACACAATTCCAGTTAGTCTAATAGCTGCTTCCCGAGCAGCGAGTCGATATTCAAATTCATCTTCAGTCCACAATATGACAACACAGGACTGAGAGATGAACCACATTACTATGCCGTGCCATTAAAACTACATTTTGCCAAAAAAAGTTTTTCGATAAATATTCAAGATGAATGTGAGTTGTTTGTTTCTGCTGTTTTTTATTTTATGCTTCCTTCGATGCAGGATTTTGCGGTCTTAGAGTGCATGTGTTGCAAACATCTCAGAACCTTTGAATGAGTGTATATTTTGGTTTCTCTGCGAATGACTCAATCAAAGTATCCAATTTCAGCCCTATCTATTCAGCTGCACGAGTACGAACCTGCTTTTAAAGAGGATGTGGGCATAATGGAGTTGGCTCTGAAGGAGAGGACAAGGAAATGAGAACTATAGAGTTTGAAGGAGACGAGGGACAACGAGAGGCCGGAAAAAGACTCCAGAGAAAGAGATGGTAGGAAATGAGAGACAGTCCGAGAGAGAGAGACAGAGACGTGAGTCAGCAGCGGGGCTTACGTTCAACTTTGAAGGCCTTCTCTGATAATTTGATGGCTTTGGAGTTTGTTTTACAGCACATGCTACAACTTGACCTCAGCGACAAGGATGTGAATTGAAGGTTTTGATTTGCTCATGATGTACACCCACCCGCAGACCTCTGCAGCTCCCAAGTTTGACATATATATATTATTCTGACTGGTGATAATCAGTTTTATAGAGCAAAGGAGGACAGCGATATAACTGTAGCAGCTGGTGCTTATATCTGAAAGATACCCTCCTGGACCACAGTGATCATAAACCTCCTGCTCTCTCTTACACACAAACACACACACACACACACACTTCTTTCAGCTGTGAGGACCCACACTCATCCCCTAAATCCTCACCTTTATCTTAAACTTTACTTACCCTTTGTTAACCATACAATCTTCTCCAAAAAGTTTCTTCTTTTCAGCCCCAAAAGTCACACAAGTTGTAAAACACACACATACACACACTCCCTTCGTTAATGAAGTTTCCCAGGCAGGACAGGAAAGGCACTTTTGTCCCTGGCACACTGCCTGGAGGTCTCGGCTGTAATGCAGGTCTACTCCTCAATTGGAAAAGGGTGACTATTAATCATCAGTCTAATATCCTGCGAGGTCACAAAAAGTGTGATTATTAGAGGGTTTACTCCGAGCGGTCATACTGTTCATATTAGTCATTCCACTTCTCAAATGACTTGCACTCTTTGCAAAAGAGTGTGAGGTTATAAAAGATTAACAGTGCAGCAAAGAAAAAAAAATCAAAATCAAAAGCTTTTATTTTTCTGTGCTTTTATGAAAAATTAATTGTTCAGTGAGGTGTGGGTGAAAACCTTTATTTCAAAAAGACTCTGGATTTTCTATTATCCAAAGATGAGTTTAAGGTAAACTTTCATACTTTAATTGCACAAAACTATTAAAGATACCGTTGAGAAAAATATTCATCATAAAAGTCTAGTGTTCAATTGCGTTCTCCTCCTGAGTGCCATTTCTGTTTGCATTTAGTTGAAGAAAATGATGCCAGACACACACTGCTGCGTTCCTCACAGAAAATATTTATGTGTTTGTCTCCGCTGCACTCATTACTTGTATGTTTTTATCTTGGAGGTTTCCACTCCACTGGTGTCTGAACAGTCGAGATGGAGGAAGGAACAGAAAGTGGGAGAAAAGGAAGGAAGGTTCTGAGGAGTGGGGACGGGGAGGGAGGGGGAGGCGTCAGCAGCGGAGAAGATGAGAGCGGAAGAGTTTAGTGGAGGAGAACAATGGAGAATAAGAGTTAAGGCAGATAGATGGATAAAACAGGTGGGTGGCAGAGAAGGGCAAAGATAATTGGATTGTGGGGGCATTCATATTTGACGAGGGTAAATGTGCTTCCTGGACCTTTTCACCGTTTGGCTGAGCTCCTGTGTAATCAGAGGGGAGAGCAAGTGTGTACTAACGGCCAAACGAGGCACTCACATCAGCATGAACACAGAAAGGCCAAGTGGCTGTTTCATTGTGTCGGGCGCCATTTTAAAATATAAACATGCACCAATGCCACTGCAGTTTACAGCCAGTCTATAGTCTTAACAGGCCTGTGTGAAGGAACAGAATTAATTGGACACTGCAGGGTCAGAGAGGTAAGGTGCTAATGAGTTGCCATTTGAGATAAGATCGATGCAGTGGGTGTTGGGCTGAGAGATGTTCAAGCAGGCCTTTACTTAATGACCTCAGTATGACTGTGATGGAGCCTCACATCACAAGAGATCTGAAGTCAAATTGAGCTGAACATCTTCACTCTGTAGGTGTCAGATTAAGTACCTCCGGATATTTGAAAAACAAAGTGAAATGAGGTGAGGAAAAAGTTATTAATTGCGATAATAACTGAGTATAATAAATCAAATTCCAATAAGGATTCTTTGGGAAACATCCAGGCTACAATCACACTGGAAACAATTTCTTCTTTCAAAAATCAGTCCTGTATCTGACATATGAAAGTGGCCCAAATCAGAATGGAAAAGATCAGATTACATGTGATTTGTGCTGTTCAAAAAAAAAAACAGAATCTGATCTGATCACATATGAGCAAAAAAAAACTGATTTGGGTCACTTGTGTCTGCAATATAAACATTAGTCTATGACTAAAGCCTGAATGACGTGAACTGGTGGGACTTAAATGGTGACAGATTAAAAGGGGATCAATTATGAAACCCTAAAAGCATTAAGTTGAACCATCTGGTCAAAACAAACAGGGACGGGCAACATGGCATTTTGTTTTTTGTCCATTGAGCCAAATTATATTTATCCTTGTTCCAATAACAGCTGCTGTGTTTTTTTAATTTTTTGTGAATTTAAATCAACACTTTCAAAACCAGAGCAGTATAAAGTTGAAGTGTAAACTATTTCCAGTCTAAGTGTACACTTGAAGAGAACATAAGACTTATATTAGGATCCATCCATCAGCTAGAAGCCCTGGTGTGTATTCAACATCTTTATTCACCTCATTTTGTATGTGATCATTAATTTCCAGAAACAAAACAGTTTTTACTGCAAATACATGACGCGTATTATGAGTGTACAAAACTGTTTTTATGTACCTGTACTCTAAAAGTCTTTATAGTGTGTATGTGTGTGTTGGCAGGCAGGAAACTATTTATAGCCACTGTGAAATACTTCAGAAGGAATCGACAAAACAGAACAAGCTTTTTCAGTTAGATGGGGTTTTTTTGCCCCCTTTAAACTCTATCACTGGTGCCTTAAGAATAAACTTAAAAAAAGGGAATTGTTGCATTAAACATTTGTCATGTTAACCAAAAAAGATCTGTCAAAAAAAGGCCAACCATCTCAGCGTGCTAAATAAACAACCTTGTGATGATCAAACCTCTCTCAAGGTGGAAGGTACAGGTGAGTGCCTCAACTACAAAGTGGGTGTTGAAGCTGCCTTTGAGTGCCTATAATCAAAGTACACCCACCTGAAAGCCTTATATTAAAAAAGAGGAGAGTCTGTCTCCGCTGACGTCGCTGGAAACCGAGGAGCAGACGTCTATTTATGTGCTCCTGTCTCGGAGAGAACAACTCAAGCAG